GCAGCAGCAGCAGCAGCAGCAGCAGCAGCAGCAGCAGCAGCAGCAGCAGCATCCTCTCGCTTCGCTTCGCCTCGCCTCGCTTCCTCCTCCTCTATTCCTCCCGTCCCTCTTCCTCTAACCTCCTCCCTCCCCGGGACCTGAGCTGTCCGTCCGGTCCACAGCTGTGGCAGTGGCGGCAGCGCCCAGGATCTGCGTCCAGGTAAGATACACCTATGTCTAGAGAGATATGTGAGGCTCTTTCCCCAATCCACCTAACCTAGGATCCAAAGAGAGGTCGCATTAAATGTGAACGAAAAACGCCTCCCCCACCAAGCCCCCAACACTGACCTCACCCCCTTGCCAGGCCACCTTGGAAGCGGGTGGGAATTGGCCGAGCTGTCAAAGCCCCCACCTGCCAGGCGTTGTCCGAAACCTTCAGTAGCTTCCGTGGACCTGTATGCCGTGGGTGCTTCTGTTGTCCATCTATTTGCCTGTCTAGGTGAGGGACTCTTCGGGTCCGTGAACTGCAGACTTGCACTTTGTCATGCTTAGTATCAGCTTCTCCACAGCTATTATTACCTGAGATCCGTGGAGTATGGGGGAGTAGGTAGTGGTACAGGAGGAAAATGAAAGAGGAGCTAGGGAAATGGGGGGGAAGGGTTTTGTGTGTGTGTGTGTGTGTGTGTGTGTTTAGTTATTTATTTTTAATTTCCTATCTAACTGCATTTAACTTACTGCAAGCTTCACGATGACGGGTAAGTGAAAAAGCAGCCCTGTCGTTTTAGTCATCTTCCATGCAATTTGTTAGTACTAGAATAAAAGAAAAATTCTTTTTTTTTTCCCCAATGAAAAAACGGAGGTGGGAGGTGGGGCGGGCAAAAGGAACAAACATGAAATTTTTGAAGTTCAAAACCCAAATAACCTTTTAGCAGGAAAGATGGAAAGCACCATCCAATATAGCTGCTCTTTTCTTTCTTTAAATCTTTTATTTTTTAAATGACGGTTGTTTCTGGGCTGCAGTGTTGCCTCCCTTCCCCACCCTCCTCTTTTGTTTAAGGATGGAAATTTCAAGAAAGTGTGTGAGGAGGGGTGGGAATGGGGATGTATGGGCTTGGGAGGAGGGGGTAAGGAGACAAGGGGCAGGATTCGGAAAGACCATCCCCTGCAAACTGGGAAATCGATTTTCTCCTGACTGGCATCGCAGGGCTAAAAGGCTTTTGTCAGAAAATAAAAAGCTTTTACCAGCAACAAGCCTATTTGGGATGGTTGCCATGTACCATCTGCTGTGTGCATCCCATCAGAGTACTCTCAGTGTAAAAACCTTAAAAGAGGAAAATATAAAGGGTTATGTTTTGTTTTTTTTTTTAATTACGAAAGGGAAGACACGAAAACATTTGAGACAGTTAATTTTTGGCCAAGAATTTTTGTTCTTTGAATGCTGAAGGGTTGTAAAATAAAATTGGGTTGGCTATAATGCAAGACAAAAGATATTATTCAGAGATTTGTGTTTGTAGGGCATAGGAGGTGTTCTGTAAGGACCATTAATTTGTATTTTAAGATATTTATTTCAAAAAGACCAGCCGGAGGAGGAAATGACTGCAAACTGAAATAGAGGTTTTCAGCCGCAGTGAGGCGGTGGAGAACAAAGCCTTTTTATGTAAGAGAAATTATGCAAAATGTCCCATGCATGGGCTGCAGGTACCAGCCCTAAGTGAAGTCAAATCTGCTTTCCTCTGATTACACAGTGGGTAATTATAATTTTTTTTTAATTTGAAATTAAATTAACAAAAAAAAACCTTCCTGGTCCCTTTGTAGCATTTATATCTGAGAGGCAGATTACAGGCTTTTATCTGAAGGTACCACGAAACCCTGGTTTTGTTGGTAGGTGTGGAAAGAATCTTTATGATTTCATGAATAGTTGGTGTCTCAATCAGCATATATGTTTATGTATAATGTTAATATTATGTGTATATATGTACATATACATATGCATATACTAAAAGGCTTCTTTTTGAAACAAGAAGGTCATTTTGGTCTATGTGTCCCTTTAAAAATTACATTGCTGGTGATTTTTATCTAATCTTCACAGGTTCATTTATATAAATTAGCATTTGCCCAACAGAATATCATTGTATATTTAGGATCACTAATGCAAGATTTTTACTATGCAGATTATTTAAATGTTCTGCAATTTACAGTTTGGCATAAGATTATTGTATATTTCCAACAGTTTTTGTGAGAGGTCCCTCCCCTTAAAAAATGGAGAATCTTTTGTTAGACCTTTGCAATCCAAATGGCTTATTTCAGAAATGAGTTTTCTTTATTCTAACCATTTAAATTTATTTTAACAATTTAAATTTCTCTAGCCTCTATTACTTCACTTATTACTGTCCCTTTCCTAGTGAAGAATCTGATTCTTTTTGGTTGCACCTGTGCTGGCTTCTCTTTATGTCTAGACTATGGAATATCAGCCAATGGACCTAGGAGGAGCCTCAGATTCAGTACTTACTCATTCTCTGCAGCAACTCCCTCTTCCCTCCCTGATGAATGACATGCTTACAGCACCTTAAACAGGGTTTGGGAGGGGAACAAAAAAGAATGTGCTGAGAGAGCATTACCCAATGAAACTGGCACAGTGCTTACTTCATAGGTCACTCCAGAAGGTATTTCAGGAGCCCTAAGATTGTAGGCTGTCTCCTAGTAGTAACTAAACAACTAAACAGCAGGCACATAGAGGTCTCAGATCTCAGGGCCAAAACTCCTTTTCTGGCAAGAGCAGCCAGTAATGTTCTCCTAAGTTAAATGAATTGTGTGTGTGTGTGTGTGTGTGTGTGTGTGCATCTTATATATTCTCAGGAAGCTTAAACTCAGTCAGAAACTTGTGACCTGAAATGGAATTTTGGCACAGACCCTTTAAGCCTGCAGGGACAACTTTATTCTTTTACCACTTTTGGTTTAATTCCATTTTCAAAATTTCTAATTATTACAAGTGAGAAAGAAGAAGGATGTTTTGGGAGACTTTTTCTTCTTGACATGTATACTTGTGACCCAAATGTGCAATGTTGCATTTGACTAGATTCATGACACACCCTGTTGCTGGTAAAACTTGAGAAACATAATTTGGCTGTTGACATTTAAAAAGCAGTTAATATTAATGTAAAAGTCATTGCATTTACTAAATGTATAAATTGCTATGTCCATGTATCTTCCATATTAGAAGTGAAACTGTTGTAGTGATTTTTAATTTTTGGATTTAGTGATAATTCACAATTGTATATCACTTTGAGTATTTTCCTCATTCCAAACCTGTGAGGTAGACAGCAACCTTGAACAACTCACTTATCCTTCCTGGGCTTCAGTTTCTTCATCTGTAAAATGAAGAGGATGGGTCCTGACTGCTGAGATCCATTTCAGTTCTAGATCTATGATTATTAGATATTCATTAGCATGCTGGTAACCATGGCCTCCAAGAAATCCACCGCAAGGGGTTCGCAAAACCTTCTTTTGTCATTGGGTGGATAGTAATGGAGCTCACGGGACTTTTACAGGTGAGCAAATCCAAGTTCGGACTAGTTAGATGACTTAATCATGATCATATAATTATTAGATATCAGACTGAGTGAAAGGCAGTGGGTTTATTGAGAGGAGCTGGGTTTTAATCCTGGTTTTATTCATTTTGTGTCAGCTATGACTTTTCAAGTCCCTTCACCTCTCCACCTTTTTCATCTATAAAATGGGAACTGGACTAAATTCTGGATAAGGTTCTTAATAGCTCTAAATCCTGTGATCTCACAAATCCGTATCCCCTAACTCCAACTCTGGGAACCTTTCCACCAAACCACCATGTGTCGTGTTTCTTCATGGCTCAAGTGATCTAATTCTTCTCAATTTTCTTAATTCTTGCCAGATCAGATTAAAAAATTCCAAATAGCAGTCATAGTAACTGATGGTACCACCACCACCATGAATACTTCATGCCTTAACTACATATTGCAAAACTGGAAATAGACATTTAGGTAAATCACTAGTGAAATGTGAGCCTTTATTTTAATGATTTTGAAGGTTAAAAGGTACGTAGGTTAAGAAGATATAAACATATTAATAAAGTCTTTGAGTCATACCTCTTCCTTTAAGTCACATCACACCTTTTCCATTTCGAGTCCATCCATGTTTGCATAGCTTTGGGGTAGCCAGAATCTGATTGATGGCTTCCGCAAATCTTTATTAGGCAATTACTACTTACTAGGCACTGTGCTTGGCTCTAGGGAAACAAAAACAGAAAGAATTCTTCACTGAATTCTTCTCTCTTCTACTTGGTATTTAAATGGTACTTCTTTTTTTCTAGACCTTTTGTCATTCAGTTTAGCACCTTCTACACATAATACATCTCCCCATTTTTTTCACCAGTGGCATCACTGTATCCATACTAGTTGAGCTATTTATAGCACAGTATTTTTTTATTCATTTAATCATTCAGTATACATTTATTAAGTCTCCACTGTATGCATAGCATTGCATTAAGTGTTACGTGGAGTAATAACAGAAGCTTAATGACGCTGCCCCCATCCCTTCAATGAAATTGTGTATCAAGAGCTTACTTGGATTCTAAATGGTACAGGTGGGCGTACCTTGTCCAGAGTTGAGTCCCATGCCTCAAATTGGATTCTTTTCACTTTTCAGTTATTATGAGTCCCCAGGAGTGATTTGATTCCCCTGCCTGGAGTTGTTCTCCTGGGACTTTGTTCCCTCTTGTGTCTTTTTCACACACAACTTTTTGTTATATATAATAATAATAACAATAATAGCTAATTTATATATTGCTTACTATGCTAAGTACTTTACAATTATTATCTAATTTGATCCTCACAATAGCCCTGGGAGCTAAGTACTATTATTATCCCCATTTCATAGAAGAAGAAACTGAAGTAAACAGAAGTGAAATGAATTACCCAGGGTCATAGCTAGTAACTTGTAAGACTGAATTTGAACTCAAGCCTTCCTGACTCTAGACCTGCCACTCTATCCAATGTGCCATCTAGCTGCCCTATAAGTTTGAACAATGGAAGATGCGTTACTCTTAACTCTACTTAAAAGAAGAGAAAAATGAAGTTCAGGGACATGAAGTGACAAGAACACAAGGCTAGTAAATAACAAAACTGGTATGTGGATATAGGCTCTATCTCCTCTACTAGGTAGTAAGATCCTTAAGGGCAAGGTTAT